AGCACGGCTGTCACCGCCTCGCTAGTTTTAGGGGTCGGCCTATCGGTGCAACATGGCTGGCGGCGCCTGTGCTGGATTATTTCTTTTTGGTGCGCAGGGCATTTTTCCAGACTCGACAAGGAAAGGGCCAAACGTAGGGGTCGACCTATCAGTGCAAAATGGCTGGCGGCACCTGGGCCGAATTATTTATTTTTGGCACGCAGAGCATTTCCAGCCTCGACAAGGAAAGGGTCAAACGTACTGGCGGTTTGACAGATGCCACTCCCTGCCTCAAAAAATGTATCTATGAACGAGAAATGAGGACCCAGATAATTTGCTCCCTTCATTTCGTTGTAGTCGATGCACCCAAGCCAAGGGTCCACAGGAGACTGCTAAGGGGGGCTCCGAAACCAACCCTGAAGCAAAGATTGGTTTTCACGTAGATCATCCTCATTTCTCAACCAAACGAGTACCTACAACGATTTCCATCTGACGATGGGAGACCTCGTCACCACACGCGTTCTCAACAGTGAGACATTGTGACCACACATGGTCTCAACAGTGACGATCGTCGATCATAAAAGCCACTAAACTTGGCATCAGCAAAAGTTGACGCCAAGAGAATCTTGCCCTGACTAACAGTGAGTTTTGTCACTGCTAAATGCCACCGCAGCTAAGTGCAGCAAAAAAGACGGCATAAACAAAGATTGTGCAGACCCTATGAGCGAAAATTACAAATACACGTGGGATGTTGAAACCCAAAGACCACACAAAAGTACATCTGACTTAAACCTATCATTCCAATCTATTCCACAGAAACTCACCCCAGTTCAACTGGCAGGTTGTGATACAGGATGAGGCTGGAAGCACAGGAAGCACTCATACAATAAACAACAGAGATTAAGTCCGCTGCCCAGGTTGTATATGCACCCATTACCTGAGGGTCTGAACCATCTTTCCCCAAATGTAAGGCATGGCATGTACCTGTACCTAGCCCGATGCTTGCCCTAAGAAACAGCTATAAAAACCATGTGTAAGGCATCGCATCATAGCTGCATCTGTCCCAATACCGGTCCACATGCAGACGGCTATAATAAGCATGCACATGTACTATGTAAAGAGGAAGAAGTTAGCCAGTAGAAGAATCCAATGTGGTAAATGGACTTCACATAGGCAGTCCGTATCAGTCCCGACACTTGTCCAAGATGATGCTATAGTCACCATACTTTATAGTCGGGGGAAGAAGGTAGCTGATAGCCATTATAGCCGTGACAGGCCCTATACTCGCCTGAATAACGCTATAACAACCATATGTAACCATATGTAACGTTCAGGGAAAGAAGGTAGTAAATAGTAGAAGGCGATGTGGCAAAATAGACTCCACATCTATGTCATAATAACCATGCATTATGTTTGGGGAAGAAGGTGGCTAAAACGAGAAAGCAATGTGGAACATTAATATGCAGGCAGTTATACCAGAAAATCTGAAAAACACAGGTATCGTCCATACATCTTCCATCCCCCGCTTTCCATTCTGAGCTGGTAGGTACGTGTTTCCTGTTCCCTTTCGGGTGCCAATCATCCCACTTCACCCACAAACTGAAAATCTCAAACCTTACTCCCTTGATGCTGAAACAGAGAACCTCCCTTCCTAACAAGCAATATCCGCTCCTAACATAGAATACTCTCCCTGCTGCCCCCATCCATCCAATGCTGTATAGTGTGCTCACAAGCTACCAAAATCATATGAATCCAACCCCAAAACATAAATTGCCACCATGAGTGTGCAACGCACATCAGCCATACCCGACAGGGAGAGAGAGAGAGAGAGAATGCACAGCATTCTCTCTCTCTCTCTCTCTCTCTCTCTCACACACACACACACACACACACACACACACACACACACACACACAAACCACAAGAACAAAAGAAGTCGCAAGAAACTTGATGAAAGCCTCATCAACCATAACATGTTCATCCAGTATCCAATACAGGTCTCGTCGCAAACATCTAAAATTAAACCACCACTACCTGCCACATGCAAACTCAAACACCAATTTACCATAAACCGCATTCTTAAGGTAACAGTGCTACTGGACCAAAATAGCTGGAAGTGCCAGCCCAAAGATAAAAGAAAAATGTCGTGCTGGTGCTTCAGCAATGCTTGGGATGCAGGGCTTTTCCGCCTTGGCAAAAAGAATCTTCCAAAACTTTGTCGTCACATTCTGTGATGCATCCTCATCTGAGAATGCGCAGGTCCGCAGGAGCAAAAAAGCGACAAACAGGACTCAGGACGGACAACGCGACACATCCAGAAAGCAAAGAAACAACGCAATGAAGCACATAGGTAGGCTCATAGACATGACCTGACTCGTCAGACTCCAGACTGGACTCAGACAGACATCACCACACATGTCAGACCAGCAATTAGGTTGGAAAAAAGGTCCCTCCTTCTGCGCACAAATGGGGAGGAAATCCACGGATGATGGAGGTAGGGGAGTAAACGAAAGTGGAAGGGGGAAAGGATTGTCTACCGCGTGGGCGCGGGGAACGCAGCCCTAAGGTAGCCAAATCAATGAGACTAAGAGCTAACACAAGAGAGAGAGAGAGAGAGAGAGAG